CATTTGAATTCAATCTGGGGCTGTAGTTGTGTAATCAATAAATGATAATAACTTCTTGTATTCATATAGCAAGGTGAAACACCCCAAGGCACTTCACAATAGAGTTGTCAAACAAAATATTTTTTTCTATTCATTTGTGGGATGTGGGCATCACTGGCGGGCCAGCATTTCTTGCCCATCCCTAGTTGCCCTTGACAAGGTGGTGGTGAGCTGCCTTCTTGAACAGCTGCAGTCCTCCTGCTGTGGGTTGACCCACAATGCTATTAGGAAGGGAATTCCAGGATTTTGACCCAGTGACAGTGAAGGAACAGCGATATATTTCCAAGTCAGGATGGTGAGTGGCTTGGAGGGGAACTTGAAGGTGATGGTGTTCCTTGACACCAAACTACATAAAGTTACACTAGGATAGATGGCCTCAAGTTGGTTGAAGATGCAAGTTCTAAAGAGAGTATAAAAGGGGGAAATGAGGTAGAGAAGTGAAGATATTTGGGGAGGGAATTCCAGAAACTAGGGACTTGGCAACTGTTGGCACAGCCTGTAGTGGTAGAAAGATTAAAATTAAGAATGAAGAAATCAGAATTGGAGGAGTACAGATATCATGGTGGATTGAGGTTGTTTGGGGAATACAGGAAGGATGGGGCCATTAAGGGATTGAAAACAAGCACGAGAATTTTAAAATAATATTTTACTTAAATAGGATTCCTAGTAAGTCATCCAAGGGAGGTGATGACCTAGTGGTATTATTGCTGGACTGTTAATCCAGAGACCCAGATAACATTCTGGGGACCAGGGTTCAAATCCTGCCACAGCAGATGGTGGAATTTGAATTCAATAAAATAGCTGGAATTAAGAATCTATGTCCATGAATCCATTGTCAATTGTCGGAAAAACCCATCTGGTTCACTAACGTCCTTTAGAGGAGGAAACTGCCATCTTACCTGGTCTGGCCTACATATGACTCCAGACCCACAGCAATGTGGTTGACTCTGAACTGCCTTCTGGGCAATTAGGGATGGGCATTAAATGCTGCCTAGCCAGCGACACCCTCATCCCATTAATGAATAAAGGATCAAGAACAGGTGTGATGGATGAACAGGACATTGTGCTTATTTGGATGATAGCAGAGTTTGCATGGTATTAAACATATGAAGGGAAAAATGTGGGAGCCTGCCAGAAATGCATTGGAATAGCCCAGTCCAGAGGTAACAAAGGCATGGTTAAGGGTTTCAGCGGCAGCAGCTAGCACCTGGAGCAAGCTGGTACAAAGGAGAAAATAGGCTACACAGATCCTCATTTGTGACTTGAATGAATATGATTGCAGCAGTAAAATATGTAGTTGTTTTGTAAAATATGATGTATTTACACATCATAAAAGATGAATATTTGGCTGTAAAACAGATGTTTATCTTCTTTCAAGTTTTAACAAGACCATAAAAAGGGCCAAATTCAGAGGCCTTCCAACCTCTTTCTCTTTAGCACTCATCTCCTTACACCACAAAAACAAATAATGAAACAATCTTTTGTAATTTGTTGGATTGTTTCGGTCCCTGGATATTTTGGATTTCGTTTGAGTGTTAATGTTTCAGGTCACTTCAAAGTCATTTAGCCTTAAGGGAGCCAAGGTTAGTTACCAAGTTGGACATAAGCTTCCTTCAGTTGTGTTGCACGACATCATGAAACATAACCATGTAAATGTCATCAGAGATCAAGCTGGCAGCATGATTTATGGCACAGTAGATTAATCTGCACAGAGAAGTTATTCCATCAGTATCTTGGAGCAACTTCTGCTCTGCTATTTCTACCAACGTGTCCAAGAATTCTGTGAAATCTTATGTTACATTTAAGCTGCTCCTTAATGACCTAACAATCTGCCAGGATGCTTTTGGAAGGTCACTACAAACGCTGCAGATCACATGAAGTGTTCTCCAAAACCAGAACAGGGATATTAAACTGTCACTAGGATAGGAAATTAGCTGTGTGTTAATTAGGGATCTGCTCTTGACACTAACGTACCAGTCTCTGAGATCAAGCATGCATTCATTCTGGAGTTGTGCAACCAGAGGTTGACAGAGCATTCCAATGCTGGTTCAACACACCTTGCTACAGATGGGGCAGATGATGTTTGAAGCAGTGGGTGAGTTTGATGCTTCTTGGGTGTTTTCAAGTTCCTACCACTTTGCTGCACATTGGCCATGTCCCTGAGGGGGCTGCTAACACTGCTGACTTGTAAACCATGAGTTTGGTGTCAGGTTTGAAGCATTTGTCACTAAAAGTTGTTTTTTCTGGCACACTGAAGGCACAATTAAATTTCATTGTTGACATCTACCTTCATTGACAGAAAGCTCCTGAAGTATGTTTTGGAGCAGGCTGATTAGAGGGACTTAGGGTTAGTGAGTCTTCGGTGTTTTTTTTAAATTCATTCACAGGATGAGGGTGTCGCTGGCTGGGCCAGCATTCGTTGCCCAGAGGGCAGTTGAGAGTCAACCACATTGCTGAGGGTCTGGAGTCACATGTAAGCCAGACCAGGTAAAGATGACAATTTCCTTCCTTAAATGACATTAGTGAGCCAGATGGGTTTTTCCTGACAATCAACAGTAGATTCTTAATCCCAGATATTCTTTTTTGTTGAATTCAGATTCCACCATTTGTCTTGGCAGGATTTGAACCCAGAACATTAGCTCAGTTAGTGATAATACCACTAGGCCATTGGCTCCCCTTAAATGTTTGCATAAATGCTAGGGTCTTCTGGATATTTAGTATAAGGTGCATATTCTCTTATATGCCTTTGTGAATGCATCAACAATGGTTTGGAGCTGGGCCTCCGAGTGTGTGCACATGCAAGTGTCTTCAAAATATTGTCACTAAATGGACTGAGGTTCAGTAGGGGGCCTTGGTTCTGGGCTCAAGGTGGTGCAAGTTGAACAGTTTCTTGCTGTAGATTAGCCACACACCAGTAGAAAGCTTCACGAATAGGGGGTGGAGTGTTGTGGCAAGTAAGGTGGAATAACATAAGAACTGAAAGATCATGGTCAAGGCAGGGTCACAGTAATGAGAGATGGCAAGAACTGCATGTGCTGGAGTCAGAGACAACAGTGTGGAGCTGGAGGAAAACAGCAGGCCAGGCAGCATCAGAGGTACAAGAAAGTTGATGTTTCGGGTCAGAACCCTGCTTCAGAAATGGGGAGGGACAAGGGAACTGGGAAGTAAATAGAGAGAATAGGGGTGGGGCTGGGGAAGATAGGTGTGATGGGATAGGCGAGTGCAGGTAGGGAGTGGTGGGGATTGGTCAGTGGGAATGGGAGGGGTGGATAAGTGGGAGAAATTATGACCCCACTCCTGACCACCAAACCATCATCTTTCAGACCATTCATAACTTTGTCACCTCAGGTTGCCTCCCACCCACAGCCTCCTACCTCATCGTTCTCCAAACCCACACCACCCATTTCTACCTCCTTCCCAAAATCCACAAACCTGACTGCCCTAGCCAACCCATTGTCTCTGCCTGCTCCTGCCCCACTGAACTCATTTCTGCTTACCTTGACTCTGTTGTTCCCCCCCACCCCCGGTCCAGGAATTCCCCATCTATGTCCGGTCCACCACCCATGCCCTCCATCTCCTCCAAGACTTCCAATTCCTTGACATTTCATCTTCACTGTGGACATTCAATTCCTGTACACTTGTATCCCCCATGCAGAAGCCTAAAAGCCCTCCACTTCTTCCTCTCCCACAGGCCCAACTAGTCCCCCTTCACCAACACCCTCATCCACTTAAAAGAACTTGTCATTACCCTAAATAACTTCTCTTTTAACTCCTCCTACTTTCTACAGATTATGAGGGTGGCCATGGGCACCCACATGGGCCCAAGCTATGCCTGCCACTTCACAGGATACGTGGAACAGTCCCTTTTCCACTATTAGACAGGCATTATCCCCCACTTCTTCCTCCACTACATCAATGACTGTATTGGCCCTGCCTCGTGCTCCCACGAGGAGCTTGCACAGTTCATCAATTTTATTAACACCTTTCAACCCAATCTCAAATTCACCTCGATCATCTTTGATATCTCCCTCTCCTTCCTGAACCTTTCCATCTCCATTTCCATCTCTGGCGACTGACTCAAAATCAGTCTTTTTTTTCTGAAGGGTCTAGGCCCGAAACGTCAGCTTTCCTGCTTCTCTGATGCTCCTTGGCCTGCTGTATTCATCCAGCTCTACACCTTGTTATCTCTATTTCAAGCCCACTGACTCCCATAGCCACCTGGACTACACCTCCTCTCCCCTACTCCCTACTCCCTACTCCCAATTCCTCCGCCTCCGGCGCATCTGCTTCCAAGATGGAACGTTCCACTGCCTACTCTTCCCCAGCCCCAGCCCCACCCCTCCTATTTATTTCCCAACTCCCGTTGCCCCATCTCCATTTCTGAAGGGCCCCGACCCGAAACGCCTCCTCTGATGCTATCTGGCCTCTCATGTTCCTCCAGCTCCGTACTGTGTTGTCAGGGTCACCTCTGATAAGCAGCCACTTACAGGGGCGGGGCTAAGGGGTGGAGTTCGGGAGGGGGCGTGTCGGACCGTGACGTTGTAGGGGCGGGGCATGGATGTCCATCGGATAGCGGTCAGACTGGGGATTCAGATGTTACGGAAGGAGGCGGAACCAATGGTTGACGTTAGGGAAGGGGTGGACGCAGGTCGGGTGACTTTAAGGGAGGGGGCGTTTCCAGGGAACGGGGCGTTGGGGAAGGGGTGGATCCAGGGACGGGGCGTTCGGGGAGTGGGGCGGGCCCGGAGGGTAACTTTGTGGAAGTGCTCGGATCTAGGAAGACAACGTTAGGAAGGGGGCGGATCCAGGGGGCGACATTGGGCAAGGCTCGGCCCGGGGCGTGTGACGTCGGGGGGAAGGAGGCGGACCCAGGTGGTGTGACGTTGGAGAAGGGTGGGGATCCAGTGTTATGTGACATTGGAGAAGGGGGTGGATCTATAGTGGTGTGACGTTGGGGGGGAGGGGCGTGGCTCTCGTCTGTTGAGGCGGTTCGTGCCGGTCCTGAGGGTCGTCTCCGCCATGTCGGACTGTGGAATGCAGATGGAGGGCGGCAAGCAGCTATTTGCTCAGGCTTCAGCTGTCTCCATTCACACCGGGAATATCGTCAACTGGAGCCGGCTAAAGAAGAAATGCCCAACCTCGCCGAGCGAGGAGGTGAGGTACCTTAGCTCACGGGGGGTATCCCTCTCTGGTCTGTGCTGCTGTCAGCTCCTCGCAGGCCCTGGCCCGAACTTTAACCTGGTACTCTGAGTGTTCTGAGGAAGAGTCACTGGACCTGAAACGTTAAACATGATTTATTTTCTTCACAGATGCTCCCAGACCTGCTGAGCTTTTCCAGCAAGTTCTGTTTTTGTTCCTGGCACTCACTCACTCTGTCGTTTGCAGTTACAGGATTGTATTCGGGAGACTCTGGAGAAATGGTGCTCTCAAGTCAGCCCCGAGCTGCTGAAGGTGAGTGAGCCTTGACTTTATAATACCCAGTACCGAATCATACAGCACGCAAACAGACCCTTCGGTCCAACTCGTCCCCAACGACCAAACATCCCAATCGGAACGTAGTCCCATTTGCCAGCATTTAGTCTAAATCCCTGTGAACCTTTCCTATTCGTGTACCTATCCAGATGCCTTTTAAATGTTGTAGTTGAACTAGACTCCTCCAGTTCCTCTGGCAGCACATTCCATGCATGCATCACCCTCTACATTAAAAAGTTGCACCTTAGGTCCTTTTTAAATCTTACCCCTCTCCCCTTAAACCTGTACCCTCTAGTTTTGGACTTCCCCACCCTGGGGAAAAGACCTTGTCTATTTGCCCTATTCATGCCCCTCATGATTTCATAAACCTCTATAAGGCCACCCCTCAGCCTCTGATCTTGCAGGGAAAGAAGTCCCAGCCTAATCAGCATCTCCCTATAGCTCAAACCCTCCAGTACCAGCATCATCCTTGTAGGTCTTTTCTGCGCCCTCTCAAGTTTAATATCTAACCTATAGAAGGGTAACCAGAACTGTGTGCAGTATTCCAAAAGTGGCCTCACCAATGTTCTGTACAGCTGCAACATGATGTCCCAATGCCTATACTAAATGTTCTGACCTGCTTCTGAAAAGAGGTGGTCACTGAAATAGCTCCTTGCAGAACATGATCCAGGACGAAACGAAGCTATCGTATCTTCTTGTAGATGAAGGGTCCTGACACAGAACGTCGACTTTCCTGCTCCTCTGATGCTACCTGACCTGGTATGTTCCTCCAGCTTCACACTGTATCTTGTTGTATCTGTCTTTTGAAAGGACAATCCAGTTAGATCCACTCATGGTCATTTTAACTCAGGTGTAAGTACCTATTTCAAAGAGGTTGCACTTGGGATTCGTTAGGTCAGTGGTCTCCAACCTATTTAAACATGATTACTTTTTGAATTTAAGTGCAACTCAAAATCACAGCAAAGAAGACATAAAATAAAGTGTATATTTTTATGTAGCTTATATAAATCTAAAACCAAGCATATAGAGTTATTCATTTTGTCCTCTACTCAACAAATTTGAGTGACACCTGTGACATTATCTGCCAGTTCTTTGAAGTTTGAGACATGTACAGTTCATCAAATGGGTATCCAAGAGGCAGGTGTTATGTGTGGTCTTTGTTGACTTCATTTGAGAGAATGTTGTTTCAAGAAGAACTTGAAGTCAAAGTAAGCCTTCTTTCAAAGCACACAGTAGGAGTGGATATTTTTCTCTTTGAGTCTGCCACAATCTGACTTTTGGTTCAATGTAATTTTGCATACTAATTATCTCCTTACCAACTCCACTACTTTGTAAATCAAATGCTAAATAAATTTTGCAGCCAGCCAGCCAACCAACTAATATCTACTTGAAGGAATAGATATGAGGCAAACATGACTATTTGTTTCATCAAATCTAATTCCCCAGTGAACTTGCTCAGGCATGCACGGAAGTTTTCTGGATAGAGCCATTCTATTGTCTGATTTCTTTTCTAGTACTCTCTACAGACTCAAAGTTGGAGTAGTTTCTTGTTTTGATTTGGAGGACCACACTCCATTTCAGTTGGAATGCATTCATAGTACTGGGCATATGTGCTCAGTTGATCCTTTCCCTGCTGTTTACAGTTCAGTTCACTCATTTTTGACGTAAGAAATCCAAAGTTGAGCAACATTGTCTGTCAGCTCACTTAAAAACTTCATTCCTTGTTTTAAGAACAGTGATAATTTTAGGCATCAGATTTAAAGATCGTTGCAGGACCTTCTCTTGACTTAATTCCCTGTATTGATGTGAGGTTAATTCACCATTTGTAGCATCGAGTTCATTGAGTGAGGATTTAAATAAAGAATGCTGAAGGGCTTTGTCCCGAATCAAGTTTACCATCTTTAATTTCATTACATGAGAGATCCATAAATTCACTCACCAATGCTAGCTGATGAATTATACTGTGGTAATTGACAAAAGAGGGAAATTCAGGGCCAGTTCAATAAAACCTGCTATTGTGCCAAACATGATTGTTGCAACATCAGTCTGGAGCTATGCCTCTGGAACATCCAGAATGTTGCTGGCTGCTTTCAATTGTGGAGGCAAGGGAGGTCACTTCTGCTGTCACGATTTGTTTCCCAGGCTGTTTTGGCTTTCTTTACTCAGATATTGGATGTGGGGCTCAGCAGCATTCCCTGTAACTTTTCCTTATCTTGTATGGACCTATTAGATTAGCAACTGAAGAGAACAACCTATAGATCTAGCGTGGAATGGACTTGCTGAGATGTTTTTGCAGCGAGTCCACATGGATGCGATAGGCTGAATAGTGGCTTGTGTGTCTAATCTGTAATATACTGGTTTTGCACATGAGTTTGTAGAATATTTCATATTTGTTTGTTTGCAGTGCCACTGCAAAACTTACTTTATTCTGCAGCAATAGTCCATCTGAACCAAACTGAGACATGATTTAAAGTCTGATAAGAGCTTTGGGGCTTCTGGGAGTGGAAGTTATGCAACAGTGTGGTGATTGATGTGTGCATCGGATGGAAAGACAGGCATGCAGTGAGATCAGCTGCCTGCAATCAACCAGTCAATCATAATAATTGTGTTGGAAACCATAGTTTTAGTAAACTAGCCGAAGACGTAGTTCCTGAGTTGTCAGCTGTGACTAGGTTGGTAGCACCTGCTTTTGCCAGAAGGTTGTCGAAAGTTTCACTCCAAATGAAGGCTGACATTCCAGTATAATACTGAAAAAGTTGGAGGTGCTGTCAAGTTAAAAGCTTTTTGAAGTCTTAGTGTTCTGATGTACAGTTAATCTCCCCTGTGAGGTGTCATTACTGTGCACCCTTTTCAAAACTTTTTGTCTGTGACATTCAGGCGGCAGTAGAGGTAGGTTTGTAAATTTGAACAAATTGTCTGGATCCTCTGCTTATTGCAACCTGAAAAACAAGTCTTGGAATTGTTCACTTGTTGCAAAAGAGCCTAATCTTTCTCCTTCCATTCAGATTTTTAAACCAAATAGTGATTGGCAAAGCAAACCTGATTTTTACTTTTTTTTTATTTCCTCTGTAGTGTGGCCCTGCAGCCCCTTTTATTCACAGCCTCAAGCTGCCCGAAATTAGCTAATTTTGAATGTAGTAGCATTTAATTGCTGTGTTCTGCTATATCCCAATTGTTCACCAGTGCGATGAATAATTAATCATTGGTGTTTATATCCAAATATTGCAATAGTTGTGGATTATTTTCCATTGCCTTGCATGTTTTGGCATCTATATTTGTGAATTGACTGGAGAAATGATGTTAAGTGAGTTATAATCTTGTTAAAACCAGTTGTATTTTTCAGCACTTTTTTGTCTTTTTTTTTCTCCTTTTTACTTTTGCTGGTCATACTTGATGCAAATGATACATTCTTCGTAAAATTTGCTGTGTTGTCAAAATGGATTTGAAGTTATAAATGTGCAAGATACAACTGGGAAAATATAGTTTATATCCAGTAAGACAACTTGCTCTAGGAATTTCTTTAGTTTACTGGCAACGGCAGTACTCATTGCCAGTCCCTAGTTGTCCAATACAAGTTCTTCAACCACTGCAGTCTGCGCAATGAAAGTACAGCCATGCAGAGTACTGTGGGGGGAAATGTTCCAGGATTTTGACCCAATGACCATGAAAGAACATGAATAAAATTCTAATAAAAATAGGGCTATTAGCACATGTGGAGAGAGAAATGGACCATAGAACTTTTCTGATGAAAGATCACAGACCTGGAACATTAACTGCGATTTTCTCTACACAGACACTACCAGGTTTGCGGAGCATTTATAGCATTTTCTGTTCTTACTTCATATTTCTAAAAGGCAAAATACTGGCAATACTAAAACTTTCCAGTTCACGTCAGTGTGCAAATTGGAGGGGAATGTTTTGATGGTGCTGTTCCCATGTGCCTGTTACTCTCATTCTAGTCAGTAAATGTTTTTGGATAATCCTTGGTGAGTTTTTGTGGCGAATATTGTCATGCACATACATTTTGCTGTGGTGAATCAGTGATTGATGCAGTGCCAAAAGTATTGTGTTCTTTGTTTTGTACTATTCTGCAGAGATATAATGTACTGAATAACTGTGTGAAACAGGATTTGTTTCGAGCTTTGTTGGTTCAGTGTGGCTTAGACTGAAGTACCAATGCATATATCTTTTTCCAGGTGTCTAGGTTGTGGCACTACCTTAATCCCCTTAGTGTTGCGCTTTTGTAAAAAACAGATCTAGGGAAATATTACTCAAATTCTACAGAAATAAATCAGACACGTATTCATGTGAGTGTATCAAGGAACCTGACAAGGTTTCGATTTGAAACTCCAGTTTGTAATGGGCATTGATTCCACTGCTCTAGTTGAGATTGAATATATTCAATTGCATGGATATATTCATACAAAATAATGCTGCATTGATTTCATTTCATGTTTGTACATATAGATTCTGCTCACTTTTCAAAAAGTGCGCGGTTTGTGCAAAATTTAATGCATATTGCTCGCTGCATGCAACTTCTTAAATCAAGTTGAATTTCTTGGTTTAGCTGCATCATTTTGAGGTGAAAATTTAAAAAAAAAACTGTCATGTGCTGAAGGACCTGTCAGTGTCAGTTTACATAAAAAAAGAACAGAATCTTTGATCCAAGGATGAACTGTGAACCTGAGATGGGTCTGCTGAGTTGCTTAGATGGTGAGAGTATGGTGCAGAATAACACCTTCTCTAACACCTTACCTGGAATTGTATGGCTCCACTTGACTTTGTAGGAATTGCACTATGGAGATGGAAATATGCATATTTATGTAGATATCTATGTTCTTGTGTAAGTAGCTGCAATGTATGTCCTTTACCTGTTCCAGGAAGAAAAGATTGCAAGGACTTTGATCAGTTTATCATCTTTAGTGGTCATGTCTTTGTATCAGCAATAATATTAATTCCTGGGTGAGTCTAATTTCGCAATTTCAATTCCTCCCTTCTTGGTTTGTTGCAGGAACCACCTGCTACTCTGGAATGTACCATAACTCAGGATGTGGACTCCATAAGCCCCGAGGAGAGAGAGGAATTAAAAGTGTCAGGTAATGAAGCAGAGCCTAATATTTAAAGGAGGTTTGAGAAGCACAGATCAGTGGCTCAGAATGCCGAGATCCTGCTGAGTTCAACATGTGAATTTTTAAAAATTCCATTTCCTTTGTCACAGCCAACCAGATTAAGAGGCTGCCAGGTGGTCAAGTCTGCAATATAAAACAACAACAACAATTCCCAGCAATCAAGAAGAATAAGAATCAGTGGGCAGTGCTTGTTCTGAAGAAGAGATTGTGGGAGTGTTGGGAAATGGTGCAACTTTTTGGGAGTCTGGAGGGTGGGCGAGCACTCCTCATGAATTCTGATCATTTCTGAGAAAGCCTTTATTTACTTGATCTGGCAGCTGCACTCTTCCTTTAGATATCTCGGGTCCTGGGAAATTCAATCCATTGTCAATAGATTTGATTTCTATTTTGATGAAAGGATTGCAGCCTCATTTGTATATTAAAATAATAACACCTCTCCAGAGCAAGTTACTCAAAGCCATTGCAGTTAAACTGGAATTGAGCATGTTCATGATAGGATGGGTCCGGTTGCATCATTTTCTTTACCAATTAATTCCATTTCATTCCCTCCCTGACCTTGTGTGTTTCTCTCATGCTCTGTTTCTCACCCCGTCTCTCTACCTTCCTTGGTTCTTTTTTTTCTTTCATTAGACTGTTCCATCTAAAAAAAAAAAAAAAAAAAAAAAAATTGGCACAGATGAGCCTGCCAGATTCCTTAAATAACATAAGGAGTCATTGAGGGAAGAACTTCGGCAGTGACTGTATTTATTCCAATTGTGATCTATTCCTATTCTGATACTATTCACGCATTAGAAGGGAAGCTAGATTTTCACATGAGGGTGAAATGAACAGTAAGATGTACTGACAGATGTGGTGGAATGAGATGTGTGTGGAACATAAACACGAACACATTGCTGCTGGATAGAATGGTATGATCTGTGCAATTTGAGAGAAATACATGACACCTACATCTCAGTGCTTCCTTTCTCTGCCTGGCTTTTCTTATGTTACATGTGGTCACTGCAAGTCTGGTTGATCATCCTTCATATCAACTTTTTTTTTCTGGCTTTGGTGGGTGATTTTACAGCTGACTGCCCTACCTCTTGCTAACCCTTCCCATTTAACGTACAGGCTGGGGACCGGCATAGATACACGTAGGCTTGTCTACGCCATTCACTGGGTTCTTCTGTGTCAAACGAGCCATGGAGTGGGAACATCTGGCTGAGAGGCAGAAACATTTATTGCCCTTCCAGTGTTAATCCTAAACTTACGTTCCTCGTTACTAATTTGCTGACTGGTAGCAACTTTTCATTTAAAGTATTTACTCTCAAGCCTTATAATAATTTTTTTAACTCTTGATTTTGATTCCCCCTCGTCTTCCCTGATCCAAGTAATGCAGTTCTAGTTTTTTTCAAGCATCATTGTCTATATTTTGCTTATCTAGTGAATCTGTTTCTATGAACTGATTACTACAGTGCCCAATCCCATAAGCCAATGGATTCATCATTGTTTTAATACTCAATATCTCTGATTCAATACTCTTTTCCATTTCATGATTTACAGCTTTCAGTAGCATCTACATCCTTGAATTTCTGTTCATTTTGTTTAGGTTTTTAATACCATGGGTATATTTGTATTAATTGTTCTTTTCAATAAAATTTAACATTCTGCTACCCTTGCATTGAAAATGTAGTTTACTTGTCCCAAGTTGCAATTAATAATAGATTCTGACTTCCACTGTCCCAAATAGTAAAATAAACACAGACCATTTCATCTATAACAGAAATAGAACATGAAAAACTAAGTATTACATGTTAAGCAGATGCTTAGCAAAGCTGTGGCCTATATATCTTTTTGCAATTAAAGTATTTTGAATCCAGTTCTTTACTGTTTTGTTGCTGATGTGTTCATTCTAAGTATCTTTAGTACTTTTGTTTGTTATCTCCAATCTTTCATAACTTGTTTATTTAAGTTTATCAGAAACCTTATCTGTCACATCAGTCAATCTCTCAATATTTTTTATATACAGCAAAGCTTTTTCTCAGTGACCCTGACTCCTCGGGTATCAAGGATGCTGTGAAGAAAGGTAAATGCTAAAACAGATTTTCTTGTTTTGCTCTTCAGCATCCTTAATTATATTTGCATTCATTTTAAACATATATTCAGTAATTTAGAAACAATCTAATGAGCTACAATATTGCTGAGTATTTATTCAAATGCCTTGCTCAATGCTATTAGTTATGTTTTTAGGCAATATTTGTGGGCTCTTTGCTGTAGATGGGACTGCTCATGCGCATGTAAGCTGAGAGCAGCTTTCCCTGTTCTGTTGGCTAATATCCAGATTGAATTTCACTTTTACAAAGAAATTTGAAAACTTACCATGGCTATTTCAATGTAAACAATTAATTACACAATGCAAGCATATTGTGTGGCCTAAATTTATTGACGTGAAGGAATATCTTTTTGAATAACATACAAACTTCTGAATGGCCATTTGGTCTACCATGAGTTCGGATGGTTATATGCTTTTTAACCTTTAAGCACTGAATTAATTGGGCGTTCTATGAATGGAATATTACACTGGCCTTGTCATGATGCCGTGATAAGTGAACCAAATTAGAAGATATGTTTGAGAAACTTTGTCACTTGTGTTCTGGTCTGCTCCGTTCATTGTTTGTTTGAGTTTGATGTTGGAAGGAAGTCCAGGGGAGCACCTATATCCAGACAAGGAGCTTCAACTTTAATATTAACAATATTTTCTAAAAATGGTGTAAACCATGTATTGGTAATTTTTTTTAAAATTAGAATTATTGTTATGGAAGAGGTTAAAATAATGTGCAAGTCAATTGAGAGGAATTTCCTGTGTAATCATTCAATAATATTCCACAAACTGGATCATCAGTATGTGTGTTAATCATGGTGCATCAACAGTGATTTTAAAGGTGCTTATATAAATGGAATTTCTCATTCAAATGTGTCTCTTCATTTGCTGTACATTCTTAATTGTCTCTTCCCACTGTGAATTTAAAAAAAAAAAAAAAATGCTGTAACTACTTAGCAGGCATGACAGCGTCTGTGGGGGGAGAAAATCTTTCCAGAATACGACCTTTCAATTAGGACTGGGAAAATTTAGAGATGTAGTAGGGTTTAAGCAAATGCGTGATGAGGAAAAGAACAAAAGAGATGTATTTTTGAGTTGAGTAGTTTTATAAGTGCTCTTGGGGGGATAAAAAAAAGCTGCTTAGCTTGAATCTTTTTATTTTTGAGTGCAGCTTTATGGTTTTCAGGGGCTCCATTTTCTATTTGCCAATTTATGATTGAAGAGCTCCCATGAGCTGAAATTGGCCAGATATTCTATTTTGTGATGTTGCGCCCCCAACTGAAATGAAGGAGGAATAGATTTGCTGGTGTTTGATCATGCCACTGCTCTTTCACCTGATGGACTAGGCATAAGTGTAGGACGAGTTTGAGAAGGGACTCCTTTTCTTTTCCATCCTCCATTGGCTGGAACACCACTACATTCAACAATATTTTAATAGCCTTAAACCCAGTTCTCATTGAGCTAGGGGCACACCAGACGTACCAGTATATCTGCAGATTGTCAACCTCAGTTTGACTGTCATGTTGTGCCAATTGTTAGTCATTTTATTTGGAATAGTGTATCCCCAAATCAGCAAAAATAACATTTTTTTTTTCCCTTGTGTAATTTTTCTTTGACGTTGCACAAGGTTTCTGTGGCCATTGAAAGCATTAACAACATGCTGAACTGTTTTTCAGTGCCTATTCAACTAAGCATCAGAAAAATGCTGTGAAACTGAAATGAGTATTTCAGAAGTAATTGAAGTAACATCTCTGGCAACATCTCTGTGTTGTAACATCTAAGACAACCTGCAGCGTCTTCGCTGCATAGCTTCCCAGGAGCTTAAGACTTTCTTCATTAACATTTGGTTATGTCCTCCTGCAGCTTCCAAAGATCAAAGCTGCTGCTGTTGAGGGAGTTATTCAACTAGCAATGAGAAGAGAATTTAATCTTATGTCATCGGACACAGCCCTCTTTTGAATACATGATGCAACAATACAGCAACCCCTTCCCACAAAAAATAAAATTTGAAGGCTGAAGCTGCCAGTCCCAGTTTCCCCCAACAAGTAGTTTCTGTCCCAGCAATGAGGCAACAAAATTTCATTTTCAATGATTCTCTCACGTCAAAGTATGCTGCACTTGGCCTTGATAACCTGTGTACAATTTAACACATTGACTGCTGTCCATCAAAATTGGAGATACTAGAACAAAGGTAGTTTTCAAAGTAGAAAAACATGCATGGAGATACATGTGAAACCGTGAAAACATACTTGTTACTCCTTTCCCAGCCACTCCTCTCGCCATCTCAGAGATTGATGACAGTGCAGCTGAAAGTGACCTGCATGGCACCAGCCAGAATAGCTGCCCTTTGATTTCCAATTATAGGTTCCCTCCCTCCTGACCTTATTATTCCTGTGTTCATAGATTCTGTCGCTGGAGTGGAGTCAGTGGAGCAGTGAGCATAAGAGAGGCGATCTGAGATTGCAGTAACAACCAGCCTCCACACAGATTTTAATCTCAGGGTGGGATTTTCCATGCCCATTTTGATTTCTCATGGACTATCTGTAATTTAAGTGAATTTGCTTGTTTATTGAAACCTGACAGGGTGGAAGGAAGAGGTTGAATGAAGTAAGCATTGATGGTACAGTGGTATTAGAAAGAGAAATAGAGATGTTGGCAAATCTGCTGAGTATTTCCAGCATTTTCAGTTTTATTTCAGATTTCCAGCACCTGTAGTATTTGTTCTTTTCTGGGATCATCAGTATATTCATTTGTCTATATGGCTTTTAAATATTTGTCTGACATTTTGTCTGTAATATTATTCTGTACTAACGCAGTACAGTTACCTATTGCAAATATAGATGTTGTTTGTGTTTGGCACAGCCACTAAACCTAGCACAGGAATATTCAATTCCCAAATGGTTGTGTTGATGCTGAGGTCATTCCAAATGATGTTTTCTGGTATCCTTAAATTATTAAATTAATAGAGGCTGGTATTCTATCACCAAGTCACCCTTTATTTACTTGTACATAGTACTTGACACTGGTCTGGCTTCCGCAGAACCAGCTCTGAGTGAACAGAACCTCTGACATTTCTATTTATATCAGTTAGCCAGGGCTCCCTGAATTGAGCTGTTCACTTAGTCCGGGAACTCGTATTTTAAGGTCCACCTGGCTGATCTTGTTACAATCGCTGCATAGTCTGAGAGCATTTTCTATAAATAACAATTTGGTAGTATAACTGGGAGTAAATGTAAACCATTTGTCTAATTGAGTTATCTCAAATGCAGGGTCTTTTGAAAAAGTTTATACTGAAGGACACAATTCTTTTAGGATAGAGCCACTGCTAATAGGTAACATTATAACAGATATTGATTCCTAATATATAATTTCAGCAGATTACAAGGACAAGGCTATCTAGCTCTTGTACTTATCAATTTCTGTGTATTTATAAATGGTTTATTTTGCTTGTTCCTGTAATATTTACTTGTCATAGCTATCTTTTTTGAATGGCTTGACTGCGATTTTCTTAGTTTCTAGGGGTTTGCACTCCTTTCTTGTTTAGAAGTTAGCCCTCAATTAACCTTCTATTCATAGTCAAAACTTCCAGCATCTTTACCCAGGGATCTTATTCCCTCTCCAGAGATCAGTGCTAATGTAAATTTATTTATAAATAAAGCACACTTCCTCGAAAGTTTATTCTACTGAAAAGATTTCTCAAATGTTACTTTTTTTGAAGTGATCAGCTTTTGAGTAGGAGAAAAAAGTACTAATTAACATTAAAGATTTAAATTATGCCCAAGAAATAACCTGAATTTTGTATTTAATGCAGCTTGTTCAGCACTTGCAGTGTCACAGCTGGACTCTGTGATTATTGCTCCACCTCCACTTGAAGATGGCGCTAGCCTTTCTCTCTCGCACCTGCAGCCATATTGGGAAGAGCTGGAAACTCTTGTTCAAAGTCAGAGCATTGTAGCAATTGGTACATCTGATTTGGATAAAGTACTTTTAGAGCAACTCTATCAGTGGGCTCAGGTAATAGGTTGAGATATTCTCAGATAAAGTTCTATCCAGTGTTTCCTTTACACTGATTGGATGTGTAGCCATACAGTAATGTGGAATGTGCTGCACTGTGCAATAAACAGGCCATGCACAACAAGGAAAAATTAAAGTGAATATTGGTTCTGTGTATAGATGTGAATGACAGAATATCAAATGATTGAGCAGGTTCAAGGGACTGAATGGCCTACTCTTCATCCATATATTTGCATGTATGAAAGCTAATAGATTTGCTGTTTTTTAATTGTATTGCTTTTGGTTTTTAGAAACAGCCCTCTGGCTATGTTCTTCCTGCTTTTATGACTGTGCTTGACATTAAAATTGTACAAAATGAATACACTGTATTGAATTAGGGAAACTGGTCATGTTTCCTCATTCTTTTTCCTGTCCGGTGATCCCTGCTGGAAGTGTCCACACAAATCCTGATCAATGATAGAATCAGCTTGTCTCAATTCTCCCAGATTTAAGCCTTAATCTAAGTGGACATATTGATTTCAATTGGGGTACCAGTGAATGAGCTGCCACTGACCTCAAAGTGTCCCATACCATACAACAGGAGGAAAAAGTGGTCAAGATTCGTTCCTGCTCAGGATAGCCATCCAGTGCTTTGTGCTGGAAAATTTCTTCACAGATAAGATCAAACGTGTCCATGATATGTCCAAATGGAAAACTTCTCCAGCATGAGCCCAATGAAAGAATGACAGTTCCTAACAAGAAATGGTTTGGAATTGTTTCACCTTTTAGAAAGGGGAGAGTAGAGATTGATGTACAAAAATACTACCTGTTTGTGTTTTGGTTTTTTATGAATGTTGTACTTTTCTGATCTTTACTGCTGTGTTTTGATTATAATTGTAGCCAGTGCAACTCAATGGAGAACAGTTTAGTACACTGAAATGTAAATTTCAGTGTGTTTATCTAGTGTTCATCTTGTTTTCCTTCATGTATAGGTGAAACCTAGCAGCAACCAGGTAAATTTAGCTTCCTGTTGTGTGATGCCACCGGAGCTTACTGCCTTCGCTAAAGAATATGACATCCAGTTACTGACTCACAGTGATCCTAAAGGTGAGATGCTGTACAAGAATCTTTGTAATAAATTGTGAGAGAAATGGGGACTGGCTGTAGCTTGACCTTGAGGTGTGGAGTTCTGCTGGATAATTTCTCTCTCCACTGCTGTTTCTTCTGTTCTGAGGTTGTTAATACTGGAGAGATGTATTTCTTCTGGTATCCCCTAGATTTGGCTAAATAATCATGTGTGAGCCTTGCACTGTCTCAGTGGAGCATTGAGTATCAGGAGCATCACAGCTGAGCCCAGACCTTTTTGTAGCAGGCATTGAGATGTATAAAGCAGGAATCCTGTCAGAATATTCTTTGTGTGTTGGACTGCACATTCTAGTGCTTCAGGTGCATTTTAAAATGCATGCTGCGAAGAAAGAATTCAGTTTTCCTGATGTCCCAGCCAAAGCCACAAAAACAAACACATCATTTACTGCATCCTGTTGATGGAATATTGCTGTGCACAATAACAGGCTCACCACCTCCTTTTCAAGGGCGATTGCTACATGAGTGCTAGTCATGTTAAGAGCAATAGCCGCCATGTTACTCTGAAATGTAGTGATTTAATTATTTGTAAATCAAGCAGTTTGCATTGTTTTTAATTCTTTAAAATTTTTTTATTAAATGTCCCATTTCTGTCTTCTTCAAGAACTGATACCCATGTTAAGTTTCCAAGAAGCTGTGATAGCCAGCATTCAAGACAATCTGGCATATGAATGGATAACGAAGTGGGTTCTGCGCTATTCAGTAATTGTTAAAAGCAGAGGAATTATTAAGTCCAAGGGCTACCTGGTATATGCTAAAAGAATTCGTTATTAGGATCATCTTTGAGAGACCAACTGATTGGAAATGCACTTTTATTACACAATTTATGTATGATATGCAAAAGGAAGAAATCTTAGAAGCTGCACTATTGACCAAATGCCTTTTGATCCTTTTTGATGATTTATTACTGGGTCCAAGATGAATTTCAGAAAGGAATAAGTTCTGATTTGAAAAGTTTGCATTGTAAAACCAGATTGTGTTTTGTGTACTGCAGTGTTTCCACTTGTTGATTTAACTGGCAGTTCTGTTAAATTCCTTTTCTTTTCTTTTTAAGTATTTTTGGTTTAAAAATATACATATTGAAGATTTGCATTCACTTTTTGTAGTTCATTTTTTGGGGGAACAAGATGTGCATACTTGTTCAAAAGACACTAACAAATAATAACCCTAGATGGGTGCACATTTGTGGTCCATAACTTACCTGGACAAGCCTTTGGCTGAATCCTTGTTAAGTTACATGCACTTGGCAAATGTCAGAGTCGTTTCTATTTATACAGCTAAACCTTTTCCATTTCCAAATAGTTTTCATTGAAGTAATTCTCCCAAGTACTGACACCATGCTGTGGTGTCTAACATTATGAAATTTAAGGTTATAGTAACATTTTAAGAAAAAAAAGTTTTTTTTTTTTTGAAGATTTGCTGCTGTGTATCAAGAAAAACCTTGATGTACAGTCTACTGGTATTTGTGATGGAGTGAAACATTTCCAACTCTCCCACCAACCTGTCATTTTGCACTCTCCTCAGAACAGCTAAGAAGAATGTGTTTGAATGTTGAATTTCAGTGGCATGTAGAGAATAGACAAATGGACTCAGGTGAAATAAGTCCACAGAATAACAGCAGCACAGTGTTATTGGTTTTCAGCAAATCATCAACTTTGTGTATTTAATAAATGTCACTGGATTACTAATGTTTATTTAATTTGTAAATTAAGACATTGTATTGGTTTAATATGTGGGAACATGCCATCATAAAACATTCCCTGCCATGTAGCAGTCATTTGATAGTTGCTGAGTGCATTGTCTAGGTTGGCTGAGGTGAACATAATGAAGCAGTGGAGAAAAGTGCAAAGTTGGTTATCAAGCGATATACTAAGTAGGATAGAACAGTTACAGCAGGGGATCCACTAAAGGCTCCTTTTTGGGTTAAGTGCAGCATTGCTGTCCACTTGTTTTTGGTGAGATGGTGACCGTATAATGTGCTGTCATTCTGTATGCATGAGAGAATGTGATTTGGGGAGCAGGAGCTTTGAAGAAAATCCATTCAATTAAACCACAAAGTAACATTCAACCTACATCTTCATCTACTGGCTGTTTTTGAAGAAAGTCTTGACCATAAATCATGGGGATACCAGTCTGGAGCATGATCCTTAGCAAATCTTGATTGAAATTGTAACTTGGAGCCCCTTTTGGCTATAACTTATTGTTTTTTAAGTATCAACTTTGTGCTTAACATGTTTAGGCTGAAGTACTGTATAAGCTTGAATGTATAGTAGTTCTAATGAAATTATACATATCTGGAAATAGTGAATTTATGATAAAATGTTATATTTTGTTTACTTGGCTATGTAATGGATTTGAGGTGATTTGCACATTAAAAGTGTGAACTAAATGCTTCTGATTCTATGTTTTGCATTATGTTCAGAAGCTGACATTTTTAAAGGAACCTTTGTATGCTAGCTGCTAATTTTAAGGGTTTTACCATATGTTTTCCATGTGACTGATTAACAACAAGTGGGGTTTTCACTTATCTGATCTGGAGATTGTGGAACAGGCTTTACAATTAGATATACTCAATCATCAGTACTTGAGCCACCTGAACTTTCCAAAATATATTGCAGAGACAAAATGGCAGTCTGTCATGTAGCATAAGGCATCTTGGTGGGATTTAAAACATAAATTGCTTTTCCCCATTTGTTCATAGGCAAAGTTCTGTACAGTTATAGGTATGATGGCAAATTGAAATTCCGGTATTCTGATAACTGTAATACACAGCACTTCCAATTAAAAGCATCAGAGTTAGAACTAGTAAAGATTCATGTTTGAAATATAAATGGACATCTCTTGTTTGGGTCAGTAAACCCACTGAGACGTGACTTGATAGAAACAAACAAACTACTATATAACAGATAAATACAGAACTTCAAAGTATGCCCAAGATTCTTCACCAACGAACAGATTAAAAATTGTGAAAAAAGTTTTGTGAAGATGTCAGAAAGAACTGCTCTTATATTCCAAACCTCTTGAAATAAGGGCTAACATTTATTCCTTCCTGATTACCTGCTGTACCTGTGTGCTAGATTTGTTTTATGCACAAGTACCCCCAAGTCCCATTGTCCTGCAGCTTTCTCCATTTTAAATAATCTATTTGTACTTTCTCCCTTCCAAAATGAATGACTTTACATTTTCCCACATAATATATTTCCTTTACCAATGTTTTGCCAACTTACTTAATCTATCAATATCTCTTTCAATTGTTTGTATCCCCCTCGCAAACTGCCTTTCCACCTCTTTCACTGTCCTCCGCAAACTTGGCTAGAGTAGGTTCACTCCCTCCAAGTCATCAATATATATTGTAAATAATTGTGGTTCCAGCACTGATCCCTGTGGAACCCCACTGATTACAGGTTGCCAACCTGAAAACGAACGCTTTATTCCCTACTTGCTGTTTCCTGCCCATGAGTTGCCAATAATGTAGTTTGAACATTGTGGGGGGTCATACCTTATGACAACATTTTGTGAGGTCTGTTTGAACACCTTCCAGAAGTCCAAACACAACACATCAACTGGTTCCCCTCTATCCACTTTGGTTGAGACTTCCTCGAAAAACTCAGAATAGTCAGATGTTATTTCTCTTTCATGAGGCATGCTGACTCTACTTGATTAGTTGAGTTGCCAAATGTTCTGCTATTACTACTTTGATAATCGATTCCAATATTGTTCCAACAATAGATGTTAGGCATGTTGGCTTATAGTTTACCTGTTTATTGCCTCTCTTTTTGAATAGGTGTTTTGTAATCAAAGGATGTTTGGAAAATTACAACCAATGCATCTACGATCTCTGCAGCTGCCCCTTTTAGTCTCGTTCGTTTTTCTCATACTACTTTTAATGATGGTGATTGGTACTTAATTCCTCCCCCATATTCTTTTAATATTAATGGATTGTTCACGGTTTTAAAAAAACCGATGCAAAATATTAACTCCTATGCCATTTCCTTGCATAACCCCACCAAATGAATGTCGAGTCCATGTGCAACAAAGATGGATTTAATCAGCAGACCTAAACGTGACCTACCCGTTAATTATCCGTTCTGAACCGTCACCCAGATTATTACTGTATTACACTGTTACATATTTTATACCAATTAAAAATCAAATTGTTACAAATCTGATCCAAGAACAAATAAAAGGAAGGAGACTGCGTCAAACCAATCCGCCTGCAGGAGAGAAGTGCCAGTCTACCTTTGTGCCACCTCTTTGCAGAGGCTGAAGTCCATATTCATACAGAGAGCCGCAGTGTGGCCTGGAGAATGCTGCAATATTAAATGGAAAGGTTTGAAGCACGTTTATTAACCCGAGTGACCAACGTCAAGATTATGTATAATTTACATCTGTGAACGCTACTCATCCTTCCCGGGGCTGCTGTGCTGAGGCAGTGCGGACTGTTTGAACTCGGTACGAAGCGGACGCGATGCGAAAGTGGTGTCGGCCGGTTCGAGGCAGCACCGGGCGGAAGTGTCTGGGGGAAAGTCTCGGTGGAGCACCAGGCGGAAGTGGTGCGTGCCGGGCCGGCGGGATGGTGCAGACCAGGAGCGGACGGCGGACCCATACCGGGAAGGTATAACATCCCTGGGGGGAGAGGCCGGCGGGCAAGGAGTGTCTGACGTGGGGAGAGGAACGATGGATACGGGACTGGGGCGGGGGGAGGTGTTAAAGCGCCTCTTTCCCGGGACACGTGGAGAAGCTTGGCGGGGTGGGGGGAGAGAAGACCTGGTCAGTGACTGAGGCGAGAGGCCCTCTCGTTGTGGGTGAGGGGCAGAGTAATGATGAGAGAGTTCAGGGGTGTGGAAATACAGACTGAAATCACTATGGGATAAGTTGTGCGATGCAGAGGCTAAAGGAGGAAAAGGGCGGAACACTTTGTCAGAGAATTTTAAAGGAAGGGGCTGAGAGGGTTGGAAGCAAAGGGAAACCTTCAGGACGAGAGGAGTAGGGCAGATAGAGAGATATGTGACCCGGTGGTGAGGAGAGCCAGAGCTGACATGAACATATGAATTAGGAGCAGTAGTTGGCCATTTGACCTGCTGCGCTGTTCAGTTAAACAATGGTTGATTTTATTTGTGTTTTGATTTCCGCATTTCTGACTACCACCTTTCTGTCTACAACCTTTGATCCCTTGTCTAACAAGAATCCATCTAGCTCTGCCTTAAAAACATTTAATGACCCTGCCTTTTGTGTGTTCCAAAGTCATATAATCCAGTGAGAGAGAAAAAAATCTCCTGGTCTCAGTCCTGAAAGGACATCCCCTAATATTTAAACAGTGTCCTTTAGTTTTGGACTCATCCAAAAGAGGTAACAGCCCGTCACGTCCACCTTGTCAGCACTGTTGAGTATATCTTGTATATCTTGCTGTATTTGCATTCTAACATTTTGTGTCTCGTGCATTAGAATACCTGTAACCCTCAGCACCTTAGAATTTTGCAGTTGTTCTCTGTTTAAGTAATACATTGCTTTGTTATTCTTCCTGCCAAAATGAACAACTTCATATTTTTTCAACATTATGTTGCATGTCCCAGATTTTTGCCCACTCACTCAATCTACTGTATCTGTCCTCAATCTCCTTGCGTCTTCTTCGCTACACACTTTCCTACCTATTTTAAAACTTTTCTGCTGGTGCACACCTCCATCTCATTCACAACTACGTTTATAACTTTCCAGCTCTTCCAGTATAATACACCTACATGACATATTCTGTTTAGTCATCTCTGTTTCTGAGGAATCAACCTGCATTTATCTAGTCTTTCCTTGTAAATAAAACTGTAGTTCAGGCAATATCTTTGTGAATTCTGTACCTCTGTACAATCATTTCTTTCCTCTAGTGCAGTGATTAGAAGTGCAGGCACTGCTCTGATTGTGGTCTAAGCAATGGTTTATTCAGTTCTAATAAAACCTCCCAGCTCTTATTCTGTACTTTTGCTAATAAAGGCAAGTTTTGCATACGCTTTCTTTATCACCTTTATTCTTCCTGTCCATCCACTTTCTGAATGTGCACTCTAAGATCCCTCTGTTTCTGTATCCTCCTTAGTACCCAGTTATTCACTGTGTATTCTCTTCATTATCATGTCATACTTTGTCCAGATTGAATTCCATTTGCCACTGTCCTGCTCATGGCCATGTCCAGTAACTGGGATCAGGCAAGGCTCTTTTCTATATTTGTTGCAACAACACTGCTCTATATTCCTGAAGCTTCCCATTGGTGTGCAGCTAATCTACAGGGCAAACAGGAAACTGTTCAGCCTGCGTCACATGAGTCCAGAACCAAGAACATGCTGATGTCAAGCTGTGGTGTGCAGGCAGCACTTGCAGGTGTGCGCACACAGATCAAACTCCAAACCATCAAACAGCCAGTCTCAGACACATATGAGAAAAGGAGCCTTAGATTAAATATCCTGAAGACAAAAGTCCTCTACCAGCATGTTTCCACCATGCAACACTGCTCCACAGCTAACAAGATCTAGCCAAGTTACTAGACGATATGTATTAATTCTCATACCTTTGGATCCTCCTCTCAGGACAGAAATTGTTGAAATTTCAGATTGTCTCCTGTGTGTAACTTTTGATCATCTGAGTAACCGAGTATTTGGTGACAAAGCTGATAGCAAGCTCATGGTCCACAGAGCAGTAGAGTTACCAGGTCTCCTGTATGCATCAGTGACAGACAAGTACAGCAGACATGTCAAATCCCTTGAGAAATATTACCGGCAATACATCTGCAGAATGCTGCAAACTCACTGGCAGGATAGACACTGCAATGTCAGTGACCTATCTCAGGCCAACAACCCCAGTATCGAGGCACTGGTTACTGAGTTGGGCTGGTAATATTATCTAGATGACTAACACAGGACTACCAAAAACATGCTATCTATTCCGAACTTCGCAGTGGCAAGCAGGTACAAGTAAGGCAGGAGAAAACTGCAAGGATATACTCTCAGACTCGCTTTTTTAAAAAGTCATTATCCTGCCAACTCATGGGAATCATTTACCCCAAAACTGCCGGTGTTACAGAAGAAACATCTGTGAAGGAGCCAACCATTTTGGCTTTCTTTGACAAGCCCAGCTGGAGGTCAACCACAAATAGTAGGAGTTTGAGAAAATCTAAGCATTCCATCCACTCCCGCACCGCTTTGTACACCACCTGCCTCACTAGTGGTAGGATGGGAAGATCCAGCATTGGACTGTTTAGTCACCTCAGGCATCTCAACACCTGAGTGGATGAAAAAAATCCTCTTTCCTGAAGGACTGTCTAAGAAGGAAGGAGCAGAATCCATTGAAAACTTCCAGCAGTCTACAGCTTTCTTCTTCTTATCAACCACATGGCCAATCTCTATCATT